AGCTTACTATCACCTAAAGAACATATCTAGGATTAAAAGACTAATGTCACAGCAGGATTTGGAAAAACCTGTCCATGCTTTTATCTTCAGTAGACTAGACCAGTGTTTTTCAAAGTTGGGGCTCCGACCCCTCTGGGGGCCGCCAGGGGGGTCACTCAAAGTTTGAGGGAAACAGGATTTTTTTTTTTTTAAGTTTGATTTTTTTTTTTTTTTATGTTATTAATAACTGCATATCTATCAATCTAGCCTATGTGTCCTTTGATGCCAATCTTTTCATATTTTTTGTTTTTGAATCACACGACCGCCCTTCAAGCCAATCAGAATCGAGCTGCCGCTACTGAGAGTGAAAATCTGCTCAGCTTTTGGAGTAAGTGAGAGCTAGTGTATGTTTCGCTGTGCAGCTGGATGAGAGCACGGATGTAGCAAATGTCACAGAATTGCTTGCATACATCAGATTTATTTCAGAAGACAACTTTGTTGAGGAAATATTATTTTGCAAAGCACTGGAAGGTAGGACCACATGAAGAGACATTTTCCAAGTTTTAGATGAGTACATCATCTCAAATGGACTTGACTGATCTCGTTGTGTGGGTGTGTGTTCAGATGGGGCAGTGGGGCTATGACAGGCAAAGAAAGCTGAGTGACAGCTTCGATCAGGCAGAAGCCCCCAAATGTAGTGGCATGTTCCATCGGGAGGCACTTGTACACATCATTTTAAAAACAAATTGAGGGGGGTCCCCGCCAGAGGATAATGCTATATGGGGGTCCTTGGCATGGCAAAGTTTGGGAACCCCTGGACTAGTCAAATTGAATAGTATTTTCATTAGTGGAAACTACCCTTTACCTTTAGTGACAGAATCAATTGTTTTGTTCATTAATTACGAAAAGATTTCCATTCCCTGTCCAGCAGAAAAAAGAGTTTCTTCAAAACTCTTAATATACAGATTCAAGAATTCCTATGAAAACTCCTGTATATAAGTCCATATATGGGAATGTTTTTGAATAACCACCACAAGTCGAATGCAACATGTGTAAATCCATTCATCAGAACATGTTGCATTGGTTTTTCTGAAATAATACAGAGGTCGTATGTTTTCAATCAATAACAGATAAAGAGAGAATACTGTTCAGTCTCCAGACAAACATTCTTCTCTCTCAAACACAAGATGACGACAGGGGGAGAAATCTCTGTCCAAGAACAGTTCCTCTTCCTTTCAGAAACTTCTGGAATGAACAGAAACTAAATGTGTTTGGCATTAAGAGCCACAATACAACCTGAGCCACAGAAAGACTGAAGGCAGATGAAGACTAGGAATAACTACAGACCGAGGAATATGCTTGTTTTGGACACATATAGCCAATGTCAAATTATAGGTTTGAGGCTGAGACAAGTTTCCCATACACACAACTTAAAAATACTAACAGAAGCCTATAGAATACTTGCTATTGTGCATGGAGATCTTGAGCATGGCGAGTTCAATTGTGAAGGTGAATATTCTTCAACAGGTGCAACAAAAACACTGAGGGAAGTGAGGGCGATGTCAAACAACCTGCACACATTCACACGGTCTACAGAGGTGTTATCGCGTGAAAAAAACACTTGTGTAGGTTTGAAGGTTTTTCTCATGATCTTTTATCAGTCTTTTCCAGGAATGATCAGGATTTCAGGCCATAAATGAAGTTAAATATTGAACGCAGAGCTGCAGACGATCATAAAACCGTTTTAATTGAAACAGTCTGACATGGATGCATTCTGTTGGAATAAAACAAACGTATACTCATTTGGAGGTGTACTTCAAATACACATTTTGAAGACATCGATGACCATTTTGAAAGTTCAGATTTGTTGTGATTTGAGAAGCAAGAGCTTTATTGTTGGAGGTCTTAATCGCATCACGATCTTTATTATTATTATTACATGTCATTTGTTAGTCGCTTTTATCCAAAGCGACTAACATACTCCATACTGTGGGCAATCCCCACAGGAGCACTTTGGGGTGAAGTGTCTCAGGGACACACCTACATGCTGACTGCAGTGGGGTTCTTTACACTCTAAGCTTCAACCAAAATACTTTAATTGACACGTTTTAATACTCAGTCCTTCTCATACACCTATTCTTAAATTAAGTTATTATATAACAACAGGCTGACATTTTAGCTTGACTAAAGATTGGAAGAAACTGCAGTTCTTTTTCTGAAATGATGGCATATCAAGGTCGGACTTTAGCTACATTAATGAAGTCTTTGTTTTGATACAATAGTTGTCATTGTGCAAACCTACGGAGCCCCTAAAGGGACATGGAAACAAACAAAAAAGAGAGAGAGAAAAAAACGAATCCGTTTTCCTGACTTTATTTTTTTTTTTTGAAAAAAGTTACCGATGCGCCAATGAGGAAGTGGAACACACAGGAGACAACCATTTCATTGCAGACTGTTATGTTTACGTGGGGAAATGACAGTGCATACATTATTTGAGATATATTTCGAACTCAGACTTAATTTTATGGACATTTCGGCCAGGGGTGTAGAGCTATTTGTTTAAGCAACGGATTGGCAAAACAGGAGAGTCTGCTTTGATCTATGAATTCATGTCCGTGACTGGCCAGTGGCGGACTGGCAATCGGGAAGAATCCCAATGGGCCGGTGCCCACTCTGATCGGGCCACTAGGTCCACCGTTTCCCCGCAGCGAGGCTCCCCCCGTTGACAGTTCACTAGCCCCCCCCTCCCCCGTTGACAGTTTACGTGGGCTGGGCTGGGTGAGATTCCCGGGCTGATTTTTAGTCCCAGTCCGCCCATCATGTGACCAGACATCTCCTTCATAAAACTAATAAAAGGGGGAGTAATCGAGCAGTTCGATGTGT